TGTGCAGTTATCATAAGATTCTTCCTTGTTTGTTTATTTTAAAATACGCTTGATCGCACAACAAATAGATAAGACATTTTCACAATTTTCACCTCCAAGAACAAGCATAAGAGAGCTCTGTTGCCATGACAACGTTATTTTATGAGCTCTGTTACGGCAGATTGCCCCATTAATCATACAATATTATTTGAATCGTTTATTAATGCATATTTCTTGTCTTTTTTCTCCCATTTCCTGTCTGTGCCCACTATGTGCTTGTGTGTCCACCACGGCTGCCAACTGTCTACGGCTACCAACCAAAACACAAAAAACCAACTCAACGAAAAAAAATCATTGATTTAATAATAACTAATTACGTAATTGTTGATTGTGAATGTTGTTGATGTTGCATGGAAATGGAATGGTTATACATATATACATATATACATATATATATATATATATATATATATATATATATTTATATGTTTACAATTGTTTGCCTTGTATGTATTTTTTATTATTTACCCAGGTGAACCCACCAAATCTGATACCCTCTTAATCCCTAACTCGAACCCTTTTCTCTCGCCGACGACGGTCACAACGACCAGCAATCATCCTTCCAGAAATTTTACGTTAGCTTTAAGAAATACAACGACAAGTTCGAATAGCATCAGTGGCGGCGGTGGTTCTATTACCAAATTGTCCGCCTCTAGTAGTACGAACGAATTAATTAATCAAATCTCGCGTCTTCCGGGTTCGATCCCCGAAAAACGAGGCTGGCACGAACTTACGCGACCGCCGCCAAGACGCCCGAAGGCGGCAGCGACGAGAGCGCCCGAAGCGATGTAGGGCTCAAGCCGACGGCGGCCGAAGTATCGTTGCCTTGGAGGAGGAGGGAGCAGAGTAGGCCGTCGATGCAAAGTTTCGGAGAAGGTTGGGGAATATTAGGGGTTCGGTGTTTTTGTAGTGGTTTTTGAGGAGCTTGTGCCAGTATTGTAGAATCTTTGTAGTTGGTTGAACTTTAAAGTAATTTTGTATACCTGAATTTTTATTTATTTTATACGAAACGAAAGTAGTTGTGGATACATTTCGATTAGAGTAAATTCTCGGTTAACACGGTTCCCATACTACGCGGAGCTAAAAATCCGACATCCCTCCAACTACACGGACTTATTACACGGTTTTTGTTAAACGGCCATAAGTTCCTTGCGCAACCTATGAGTGATTCTAGTAACTTGATATCAAAAGGGAATTATTGTAAGTTTTGTTATCGACTTTCATCTTTTAGACATGCCTGATTATATAATAGCTGTCTAAGAACACGTTTGAACTGACTGCTGCGTCGCGCCAATATTTGGATAAGGTGTCTATGTCATTTCGCACATATTACTCCTACTTCAAGTTGTATTCCTGGGTCTCCATACAGCACGATAAAAATGGTGCGATTTGTACTAACTCTGAGTCTCTCATAGCGCGGTTTCCATACTGCACTACAGTAAACCCTCGCTTTACGCGGCGTACCGTGCAGTATGGAGACCCTGCTTTAAGGGGGTTGTTCTTTTTTTATTTTTCTTTGTTTCGGTTTTAAGATTTTTTGATATTATGAAAGCTAAAAACCTTAGAATTATTTTAAAAAAAATCATCTCAATATCTATTTTTTTGACGAAGTTATAGATATATTTATCTCTATTCTAATTCGCAAAATTTTTTTTAAATAGCTGCCATTTTTTTTCTTCTTGCTTTTTTTCTTTCATTTTGGTAGGGGGACTCGATTCAAACTTCTTCTTCAACGTAGTTTCTTTTTTTTTTGTTTCGGGCGATGCGCAACGAATTTATCTGTGGCACCGCAAAAGAGATCGATTTTGCAAGGCCGACTTTTGCGCCCCCTGGTTAAAAAATGACGGCGAAAAAAAAGAAGAAAACTTTGTAATATTCTATGATTTTGTAATTTTTGTTTAAAAGAAACCGCATGTCTCTATGATAAATACATTTCGAGAAAAACAGAAATAAATACCTTGCATTTTTTGTAACGAAAAAACGAACAACCCCCTTAAGGTGAAGAGTGAAACGAAAGTAGTTACATTTCGAATATATAGTTTTATAACTTGGGGTACTTTTAGGTCATATGAGGCTTCCATTAATCACGTGATCGACTTTTTAATGATTATTGGATCCCCCCTCTTCCTTGGTGATACGTGGTGATATTGAAAATTACCCCCCTCCCCCACCAAACATAACGTGTATTTTTAGTTACGAGAAAAAATTGTATAATTTTCTATTTTTTTTGTTAATGCTTGGATTTTTAAAAAAAATGCAGTTGAAAAATAAATACACGTGATATCTTACTATACCCCTCCTTCCCTCACGTGATATTTTGTCAAACCCCCCTTACCCCTAAAAACCTCACGTGATTAATGGACGCCCCCATAGATAAACAAGTATGGTTTCGCCCCCATGGTTTCCACTTGATTTATTTTTCATGATAATTTTATATTTGATGGACAATGAGTGAAAGCTTAACCCAAACTAGTGGTGTATGGCATCGTGCCTTAAGGCAAATTGCAGGAACTTTCCGTACCTTAATGAAATATTTGAAGAATATTAAATATTTTCAAATAGATTAAGGGGCGTCCATTAATCACCTTAGGTTTCTAGGTGGAGGGGGAGTATTTGACAAAAAATTACGTGGGGAAAGTATGGGTATAGTAAGATATCAGGTGTATGTATTTTTTACCTGAATTTTTTAAAAATAATCTAAACATATTAAAAAAAAATCAAAAATTTTCCAATTTTTTTTTGTAACTAAAAATACACGTGTGTTTGCTGAAGAAGGTGGGATGATTTTGAATATAACTACGTATACCAAGGAGAAGGGAGTGTCCAAAAATCCTTAAAAAATTGATCACGTGATTAATGCACGCCCCCTTATTATAAATACGGTAGCTTTCATTATTCTTATTTTATAGACAAAATATAAAAGCTTATGAATTGGACGACGTTTAATATGTTTACACGAAAAATAAATGAACAAAACTTAATCAATCGAATTTAAAATGAAAGACCTTATCTCATATTTCTAAGAATTATATGAACCGAATTGCAAAGTTAAAATTATTTATTTCAAGTATATAAGTGGGATTTAAATCCTAATTATTTTTGATATTCAAAATAAAACCTTTCTCTAAAAGCAATCGTTTCGTCAACACAAGCAAAAAGTTTTTTGAAACAATCAAATCGGATGTTTGATACTCTTAAAAACTGCCATTATTTACCCATTTAGCTCGGTATCTCCGAAACGGCTGGACCTGCCTTTGCTAAAAACTAATCACCATTTCTCTCCATCATTACGAATTGAATGTTTTTTAGATCATCAAAATCGGATGCTCCATTCTCTCAAAAACTCGATTTCTATTTTTGGCGCTCTTTGCTTCGTATCTCCGTAACGGCTGGACCTACCTTTGCCAAAAACTAATCAGCACATCTCCCTTTCAATAGGAATCGAATGGTTTTTGAATCATTCAAATCGGTTGATCCGTTGAGCCCGATGTACACGACGCTAGTATTTCTTGTAACATCTTTTCTGTCGAGTTTTTATTGTAAGGTGATTTTATTATTATTATTTTATTTAATTCTTATAAATATGAGGTAAGATCATCACAAGAATTTATCCTAATACATATAAGAATTAAATAAAATAATAATAATAAAATCACCTTACAATAAAAACTCGACAGAAAAGATGTTCCAAGAATACCGTACACCTGGCTTGAGACAAAGACAAATGACAAAACTTTCTGGTAACCCAATTTGTTGAATATTTTGCCCTTATCGTCGACTGAAATTTAATTATTTTAATTATATATAATTATGTATATCGCTTTGCTTATTAATATTTATAATATATAATATTATATCTATTAATTATTATTAAATATTGAATCGAAGTTGAGTTGTGTAGTCAGTGTTGGTAGACAATATTTATTTATTTATTCTTATACTATTTTTTTATTTATACTTATTCCGCTTTATCTTGCACAAATCCTTTAGACTTAGACCAAAATAAAAAAATAACTTGCCAATATTTGTAAAAATAATAATAATATTGTTTATTAAACTTTTTTATCGGTGCAAGTTTTGTTTTGGTCTCGGCCTTCTACTGATAGTATTTGCATGTGTATATATGGAAAGTATATATATTTCGTATTTATTTTTTGAAAATAGTTATGGATGGTAATATACTTTTATTATTTATATACTTAGGGACCGATTTTGCCGCACAACAGAAAAATGTTATGGCAAGACCAAGTTACGCTCCAACTTGCATACATTATGCTACTGAATCATACTGGAAACTGTTAAAATGTCATGTATTTGCTGCGCATTCAGGCGTTTTATACACAAACTGCAACGTCATTCGTATGTTATGAAGCTGAGTCAGAAAGACCCTGTTATCTAAGATCGTTGTGTGGTTTCTAGGTTTGGTTTTCTATATGACAACCTGAGAATTATCCCTGACTGCGCAGCAATCACATGGCTTTTTTAATATTTAGTATGGAATGTTCTTTATAACATAGCCTTGCCATAACATTTTTCTGTTATGCGGCAGAATCGGTCCCATAATTTATTTCTGACGTTTCGAAATAATATTGTGTCATCAAAGCGTTAGAAATTAACAGTGCAATGATTTTACTAGAGGAATTATTATTTTTTCTTTATGTTCCTAAGATCTTTGGTTATTTTATAGTTAAATTAAAATATAAATTTATTTGTTCAAAAATAATTATCATAAAAAAATAATAGAAAGCACTTTCCTCAAATATTTTAATCAACTTTCATTGACCAAATATTGTGTCGAAACGTCGGAAATCGTATAAAATTAAAAATAATCAAGTATTAAGTATTTGCTTCGTGCATTAAATCAATGTATGATATCTATATATAAAGCACTGTAATGTAAATATTTAGTATTTAATAATTATCATAATCATTAATTAACTTGTTGTTTTTTATTTTCGAAGAACAAGAATCTGCCATGTCGCCTGATCGACCGGTGAAGAGAATATCGAGGGACTCCGAAGGTAAATTGAATCAAAATTGATTTTTAGTCATAGAACCCTATTTTGTCACTTTGATATTCGTATAGGGCTCTTCAAGACCTTTCAAACTAGCCCTCATATGCCTACCTTTTTCGTCATAACATTTTTACCACTTTTGACCAGCTGTACTATACGAGGTGTGTTCAAAAAGTACCCGGAATTACTAATAATTAAATTTCGCGGGTCTGGAGTGTCTGATTGTCAAAATTTTTTTTATTGTGTTGGTATACATGCCCCTAAAGTATGATGAAATTTTCAGCTATATTCACTGTTTACTTTGTCTGTGGTAGTCGCTAAGGTTCGACGTGTTTTTCTGAGCTCGGCGATTTTTACAATGGAAGAATTGAAAAGTCAAAGAATTTGTATTAAATTTTGCGTAAAAAATGAAATAAAGTGTTGCAAAGTGCAAAAATTCACCAGATATGGCTCCGTGTGACTTTTTCCTATTCCCAAAGTTGAAGAGACCCATGAAAGGACGGCGGTTTTCCTCGATTGAAGAAAATCGCTGAGAGTGCTCAAGGACATATCAAAAAGTGAATATCAAGGGTGCTTCGAAAATTGGAAAAAACGCTGGCATAAGTGTATTATATCTGGGGGGGGACTACTTTGAAGGGGACCACATTAATGTAGACGAATAAATAAATATTTTTTTGAAAAAACGAAAATTCCGGGTACTTTTTGAACAGACCTCGTATATAGTACGACGACTCGTTTGCGCGCATTTGTTGATTACAACTCTTGTAACTTTTAAACGGTTCGTTTGATTTAAATGCAACATTCGGCAAATTTGTTCAAATTTGAATTATATACAATATTGTCTAATATTATAAGTAATTACAGCAACTCGGTGTACTTTAAAATCGCGTTTGAAACTGTTAATTGGTTCTTAGCTATTTATCTTGTACGGAACCTTATTGCTTTTTTGGGTTCATAACTTTAATATTTGTGTAGGGCTATTCGAGACTTTTTAAACGAGCCCCCGCATGCCCACATTTGACGTCATAACAATTTGTACCATAATTGAGCCGCTGTACTATATATAGTACGACAACTCGTTTGAGCGCGATGTGTGATAACTTTTAAACCGTGCGTTCAATTCAATTGCAACATTCGGCAAATTTGTTTAAAATTAAATTATCTACAATATTATCTAAAATTATAAGACCGTACAGAAAGTCCGTTTCTTTAAAATGGCGTTTGGAAATATTCTTTGATTCTTACCTATTTATCTTGTACGGAACCCTATTGCCTTATCGGGTCCATAACTTCGATATTCGTATAGGGCTCTTCGAGACCTTTCAAATGAGCCCCCACATGCCCACATTTGTCGTCATAACATTTTTACCATAATTGACCCGCTGTACTATATATAGTACGACAACTCGTTCGCGCGCGTTTGTTTATTACAACTCTTGTAACTTGCAAACCATTCGTCCGATCAGAATGAAATATTCGGCAAATTCATACAAAATTAAATAATCTACAACATTGCATTTGTATTTTTTAGGTGAGCCCCGCGTATCGACCCCAACGGCCACCGAAAGTGTCCTGCCCTGGAAACGTGGCGACGAGTCGGACGAAGGGGCCCTTCAGCAGTCCGAATTTCCAGCCTGGGCCAGCAATAAGGAGTATTTGGCCTACAATTCGCCTTCGGCCACCTTCTTAGGCAAGTCGAAAAATTGATTTATTTTTTTATTTATTTAAAATACTTAGTGTAGTGTAGTTGTATGGAAAAAGTACAAGGTTTCTCCAATAAATAATAAATGATAATAATGAAAATTAATTTGTCAAATCCTGTTCGTATGTGTATCATTCAATCTGCCATACATATACTGTATCTTAGATTATTTTAATTTTTGCACATCTCAGCTGCTTTTTGCAATAATAATGTAGACATTATATTTTTCTTAGAAATAATCATGAATTTATTATACATATCCTGATATTGCCTAGACTCATAAGTAAATTGAAATTTTTGGCAGATGACAGTTTTCATTTGTTTTCAATGCCAAGTAATGTTTTTTGCAATTATTTCCATTTATTTCTACAATATTACTATATTTTTATAATCACATACATCCTAAAAAATTTCTTTAAGAAACTTCAGAAAGATTTATCTAAATCCGAATAATCGTTTAGAAGGAGTATATTTAAATACATCATTGCAAAAGAATATACAAGATATATTTTGAGATTTTATTTTTTTTTTAAACAAAATAAATTGTTACGTTCTTACAAACTTTTTATTTTATTTATATTTTATTTTATTCTCAGTTTATTTTTTGCATTTAAGTTTTTATTTGTTTTTTATTCTTATTTTTACAATAAACTTATTTTAGTTTCGATTGACAAAAACAAATTGTTACAGTAAAAAAATTACTAAATAAATTTAAAAAATTGCTAAACTTAAGAAACAATTAATTCATACAAATTTTATCCTTTCCCTTTTGATATTTATTTAGTAATTTAATTATTAATATAATATTTAGTGATTAGAATTAAAAAGTTTCAAAATTTTACGTAATGATTTTTTATTCATGCTAACCTGAACCTGCAGGCTAAGAATTCGAGGTATAATATTTTCTATATTATTAATTATATTATTTTTTTATGTTTAAAACAAATTGGTTTCAATTGGCCAGATAATTAAATAGACCTATCGGCAAGTTGTATATTCAAATGGATATGAAAAGAGAATAGAAACTTTAATGTTTCTCATTTAATTTTCAAACTTTTCAAACTTCTTTATCTATTAATTAAACCATATAATAAATTATTAAATTATTAAATAAAACCATAAATTATTTTATATATAAATTATTTTATGGTTTATACATTTTTATTTCACTTGGAGTCGCCTTGTACTTTTTCATTTCAAAATTTAAAATTCAAGCACAAATCCTTTTAGATTTGAATCTATAGTTAGATTAAGATTGTCGCGATTACTAATTTAACTTTTTTTATAATTAACTTAATTTTTTCTGTTTGTTGATGTTAGTCTTTGCTTTTATTAAATAGGTCCGAATTCAGCAAACAATTCTAATGAGAAAGCGAATAAAAGATGTTAATCTGGCTGTAAATATTTTGTTGTGTAACTTAGTTTTGTTTTGTAGATTTGTGTGTATGTGTGTATGTATTGTTTGAATTTTTATTTATTTTGAAATAAATTCTTTGCTTTTTCGCGTTTGATTTTGTAGATTGTTCCACTAATTTTAATCAGTAAATAACGAGACAAAACGTAAACGTACTGTAATGTACGTAACCGTTACGTAACACAAAGGACACAACTGCCTTTACTTTCTAGACAACATTTTATGAACGTAACTGTTACGTAGCAAGTTTATCTAGTGAGGAAAGTTTCGAATAAAAATGAAATCTTGGAAATTTTTTCTTTACAACAATATTTGCAACTTAAATAACTTTCTTGCTTTTTCGCGTTTGATTTTGTAGATTGTTACTAATTTTGATCAGTAAACAACAAGAGTAAAAGATTTAATGTTTGTAACCATTACTTAACTTTAAGGTCACAATTTTGTCATTTTTTGTAAAAAATGAAATCTTGAAAGTTTTTCCTCCACTACAATATTTGCAAGTAAAATAAATTTCTTGCTTTTTCGCGTTTGATTTTGCAGATTGTTTTACTAATTTTAATTAGTAGACAACAAGAGAAAAAGAATTAATGTACGTAACCCTTACGAAACTTTAAGGACACAATTTTGAAAATTTTTGGAAGAAAAGAAATCTTGGAAGTTTTTCTTTTTTTCTTGCTTTTTCGCGTTTGATTTTGTAGGTTGTTTCACTAATTTTAATAAGTAGACATCAAGAGTAAAGGATTTAATGTACGTAACCATTACGTAACACAAAGGACACAACTGTCTTTACTTTCTAGACAACATATGATAAACGTCACTGTTACGTAACAAGTTTAATTTTAAAATTTTTTGGAAAAGAATGAAATCTTGGAAGTTTTTCCTTTACAACAATATTTGCAACTTGAAAGTTTTATTTCGTTTATTTTTTATTTTGTAAAAACAGTGTGTAAATATAAACACTACTACAAGAGAATTATCAAAACCACTTCTATGTCGAAAAGATATTTCTAAAGTTTATACATATTTATAGAATTGGAAAACATATTTTACAGTAATTTTTGACATTATTAGTTTCTGAAATTTATTATGTAATGATATTTTAAGAAGTTTCTGGTTTGATATTTAAAGTGTTGCTTATATAACATGTTGCTCATTTGCAATCTATGCGAAACTGATGGAAAATTTATATAATTTTTGAAAATATGATTTTATTTGATATTTTGCACCTTAGTTCAATACAATAAATAATAAAAAATTGTTTATATATATTTAAATCCTGATAAAAGTACATCACCTTGAAAAAAGGGATTATACATTTATAAAACAAACAAGTTGATACAATTAAGTATCAAGATGTATTTTAAATTTAAAAAGTTTTACTAAATTATATAAAATCATTAATTATTTTATTGCATTATTTTTTATTTTTATTAACTTACATCAGGTTGCATAGATGTAAATGTAACTCACACGCGCATGCGCCTTGCTGGAATGTCTCACACATTTTTTTTTGTTTTTTTTTTTCTTTTCTTACACAATCCTTGCCATTTTCTTACACAATCCTGTGAAACCTGAATCCTGAAATCATTACCATTAAAAAAATATTCGTATTATTTTTTAATTCTATCTATTTTAATTTCATTTTTGTAATTGTTAATTGTTGTCTTTGAATTTTTTTTCTAATTTTTTGACTACATAATTAATAATTTATTAAATCATTCTTATATTTATTTTTGTCAAATATCATTTTATCTACTTCTTAAATTTTATTTGTTGCTTCAATTTTTATATACATATTTCTTTTTTTTCTTAATCTTTCTATCACTTCTTTTAATTTTTCTTCCAAATTTTTATTTCTAAAATTTATTCTGCACTTGTAAATATCACACACAATCTTGTAAACCTCACATGACTTTAATCTATAATTTGTCACATATTTTCAATCTCACTTCCATAATCCAAATGATTTCTAACCTAATCTTCAAAACCCTTACTAAATTCCTCTGCCCTAACATAACTTTGCCTGACCTTTTCTGCCTTTTCCTGACCTTGCCTGACCTTGCCTGACTTTGTCTGACCTTGTCTGACTTTGTCTGGCCTTGTCTGACTTTGTCTGACCTTTCATGATCTTGTCTTACGTTGCATGACCTTTCCTGACCTTGTCTGACATTTTCTGACCTTATTTAACTTTCCCTGGACATGTTTGACCTTGCCTGACCTTGTCTTACCTTGTCTGACTTTTCCTGACCTTGTCTGACTTTTCCTGACCTTGTCTGACTTTTCCTGACTTTGTCTCACCTTTCCTGACTTTGTCTCGTCTTTCCTGACTTTGTCTTGCCTTTCCTGACTTTTCTTGACCTTGTCCGACCTTTCCTGACCTTTCCTGACCTTGTCTGACCTTTCCGGACCTTGCCTCACGTTTTTTAACCTTATCTGACCTTTCCTGACTTTGTCTCACCTTTCCTGACCTCTCCTGACTTTGTCTCACCTTTCCTGATTTTGTCTCGCCTTTCCTGACTTTGTCTCGCCTTTCCTGACCTTGCTTCACCTTTCCTGATTTTGTCTGACCTTGTCTGACCTTTCCTGACCTTTCCTGACCTTGCCTCAACTTTGTCTGATCTTTCCTGACCTTGTCTGACCTTCCCCGACCTTCTCTTACCTTGTCTGACCTTGTCTGACTTTGTCTGACCTTGTCTTACCTTGTGTGATCTTTCCTCGCCTGTATCCATTACCTCGACCTTGCCTGTATCCATTACCGAAATGCAGGTGGTTTAGCGCCGCCTAAACAGGTGCGCTCCGTCATAGGTCTGTTCCGGAAAGACAGCGGCGCCTCCGGCTCGGACACCTCCCTGCACAGGATGTGCGTCGACCACCTGCCGCCGATACCTTCCGGCAGGCAGCTTGACAACGTCGGCGCGGGCGGCCGCAGCCAGAGCGTGGTGCAGGGCCCGGAGGGCAGGGACTTCAGCAAGAGGAGCCACAGCATTGCTTATACGGGAGACAAGTGAGTAGAAAGGAAAGATTAAGAGAAAGGTTGATTTTATGGGATGGATGGAGTGAAGTGCTATTTGTTTGAAACTAAGGGGAATGTCCCTGCAGTGGGCGCCCCTTTGAATAGCGGTATATTGTTAACAACAATGTATTTTAGTTAATTTCAATTGGACCAAAGCCATGTTTAGTAAGGAGGTAAATCATTTTAGAAAGGAACTCAGATGATTTTGATTTTTTTAAATAAATTTGGCGTCAGTTAAGACCTAAAATTTTTCCTCGGTGGGCGTCACTTCTAGAACTCACTGTCAGTATATTTCTTTTATCAACAATGTGTTCTTAAAATTAAATTGTTCGAAAAAAGTGTTCGAAAAATTAAAACCTTAACCTTAGTTTATATCATGGAAGTTTTATACGATAACTATTATCAGTAAGTGTTTTGAATTTATATGTGTGTGATTTAACAATTTTACAAGTATTTAATTAATGTGTATTTTAGTTGAAAAGTACTTTTAAAATTATGAAGTTTTGAAACAAAATGTAATCGTGAAATAATTTTTGAATTGGAAACTAATTTTTAGTTTGAAAAGGTTTGATAATAGGTATTTTATTCTGTAGTTTTTGTATAATAAGTATTTGTATAATAAGTATTTATATGTATTTAAGTATGATTCAGTATTTTGGTATGAATAATTAATGATGTTATTAATTTAAAGAGTGATGAGTTAGAATATTATAATTTTAAATATTTTATTTAAGTTTATTATTTATCAAACATAATTTATTACAATTTTATTAATTTTGCTGAATATTTATATTGACATTATGATGTACAGGTACAAAATGTATTAATTTGTCAACGGTAATCAGTAGCTGCATACGAAATACGGAACAAAAAATGCTCGGCATAGATTCTGATAAAGCGCGCGGCTTGTTCTAAACTTCGATGATTTTTTTTAATTTAAATACTTATCGTAGGCCTATAATATTTTAATATGTTAATTCAGACTAAAAAATCTATCGTCGTACAAAGTTTCATCAAAATCGTCCAAAAATTCTTTCAACAATTAAGAGACTTGTCATAACAATTTCTAGCTAATATCTTTTGGAAAGTTTTTGAAGTCTTAAAATGCGTTTAGAAAATGTTTTCGTTAACGTTTATGAAATTTTTGCTTTTATCTGCACAATTATAAAGAAACGTCTGTGCTGATCATTGTTCAAAACTAATCAACGCGAGTTCTTACCGAGTTTCATCAAATGGCTTTTAAGTTTTTGAAATCGGTTCAGTAGTTTTTGAGAAAACGTTGACGAATGATCAAATTTTATCTCAAATACACATTCACACCAATTTTGGTGTGAAACGATTTAGAATGAAATCGGATTTTCGGGAGAAAACTTCTTGAAAAAGTTTTAAAATCTGGAACTTATGGGACAATTCTGCCTTATAGCATAGCGTTGTTATGACAACGCTATCTTAATCTTATTTCTTAGTGTGAAAATGTTTATCTGTTTGCCGTGCGATCAGGCGTATTTTACAAAAAAACAAAAGTGGAGGAATGTTCTCATAACAGAATCTTCGATAACGTTGCCATGACAACACCATTAATTTATTTAGTTTTATGACTATTATAAGTTTACTAGCAAACCCGACGAACTCCGTTTCGCCACCAGGTGGTTTCGTGAGAAAGATGAAGAAATTTTTTGTTTGTTTTATATTTGAAAAGGAAAAATTTGATTTTATTATACAACAGTAATGAATTTATTTCGATTACAAAAATTAAGTGTTTTTCAGTTAAACTTCTCTAAGTTGAAAATGAAAGTGAATCCGCAAATTATCCGTTTCATGGAAGTGATCGGTAAACCACATTTTTTGTTTTTTGGTCTGACGTTAACACAAACAAAGCGGATGGTTTTCCAACTCGCGAACAGGCAACGTATAACTGCCCATGTAAAAGACAATGATTTTCTGAATAATCTATTTGAAATTTATTCCGCTAACACTAAGCGATTGGCCTTGCGACTTGTTATTGCGAACGCAAGGCGAACTGGTAATTGCAATCGTTTGAAGTCAAACGGAAGACCAGTCGGAATCATTGGTATGTCACCAAATCGCCAGCAATTTTTGATTGAGTGGTGAAATTTAGTGCGTGTACATCATATTTCTTGGCGGCAAGAATTGTTCGTTGACTTAGCCAAACATAATTCTGATAATTCTCACTAATGTCATTACTCGAATTTTTAAATACGGTGCGTGAAGTCCCAGCAATTTTCATTAGGGCACGCACCACTAATTTTCTTAGTTATAAACCTTGCGGGGCCCGAGACCTTTCCAACGAATGCGCAATTGTCGAAATCGGTTCGTGCGTTCTGGAGTTATTTCGTCAGGAAGGAAAACCCGACTTATTTTTATATATATAGAAGATTATAATATTTTAACTCATCACTCATATTCAAGTATCTATTATAACTATTATTATTATTTTGTATAATTTTCGTTTGTGTGTGACTAACCCTAATAATGTGATTGAAAACATCAGTTACCCGGAGTTGGGCAACCCGGGCGACCTGATCAGTCTGGGCAAACCTGCCACAGTGTTTCCGGTGACGGCGAGTCACCGGAGGCAGAACCGGAGGGGCTCAATGCTCGAATTGAGCGGGTGAGTTTTTAATTTTATTAATTAGGAAATTGATTTATTTATTAATTAATTTATTTGATAATTGATTGAAGGGTTTGATTGTTTATGTATGCGAGGCATGGGTGTCGTTGGCTGTTTGCACGTTACTGGTTTTAAATATTGAGATTGCAACTATGCGGAGGAACTATATTTGTGTAATAAAACAACAAATATTAAAATTGTCATTTTTTTGATGCTGTATTAGTAAAGAATGATTTATTAAAATTACACACACGCGTAAGAATACATTTGAGAATTGCTTAAGGGGGTATTCTAGTGTAGAGCGATGAGTTTTAGGTCATTTTTAAAGTGTCGTAAAAGAAAGCAATGAATGTTTTTACTATCCATGTTTTAACCATTTGTTTATTCATATTTTTAAGATACAAAACAATAATTAAAAAATAAAAAAGTTGAAAATTGTAAAAACTGGCAACTGATGAAGTGGGTTGTCTCAAAAAATTGGCACCTCAGTCTTGTAATGATTTCAGCCCTCCTAGCCATCGAAAATGCAAAACATAAAAAGATTATTAATCTACAATGATGTAGCAATCGGCTGAACTAGAGATGAGTAAAAAAAATTTTTTTTCACAAATTGGCGACTGTTTGAAAAAAAGTTTCTTTTTACTATTTTTTTTTGAGTTTCTTGAATTTTTTAAAAATAATAAAAGTAGGAATTTTGGGATGATTCTAGTTCGGACTATAGATAGATCTATAAACAAGACTATCTGAAAATTTCAAATAAATTGGTCGAGTAGAACTCCAGAAATCGTGACAAGAGTACTGAAAAAGTAAGTTCTGAGAAAAGCGCATTTAAAGTTTTGCGTGAAGCCAAACCAGTATGGAGACCGAGTCAGTAAAATGCCTATATCTCCAAAAATAATTCAAATTTTCAAAAACCTTCTCGTACTTGTATTTTTAGATAGTCAAACTTTGAAAATATGAAATAAAATAAAATCGTTTTTTTTGAATTCCTACACTAGAATACCCCTTTAAGTACAATAATGTTTTTTAATATTATTTTCTGGCCGCATCGTTTATGTTACAATCTTGCAAATTTGATGAGTTAAAGTGCAGTTTGTCTATTATTTATTTTATATTTAGACATGGATTTTAAAACAAACGGTACACCAATACTAAATAATCAACTGATTGTAGATAATATTGAAATATTTATACTCTCGATAACTTTGAATTAATTTTTTTATTCTTCGATGAATATAATATAAAATGTATAAAGTATTTGTTAGTCCAAAAATAGTGATAGAAACAAATTATAAATTTACAATATAATTACACATTATGTTTAAGTTCTAACATCTTAATTTATTTTACATTAATAAAATTTATAAGAGTTGCAATCCTAATATTTTGATGTATGAATGAAAACTTTTAATATATTTAATCTAATTGTAAGTGAATGTAAATAAATATTATATATTTATTTATATAAATATATATGTATATATATATATATATATATAATTTTAAATTACTAACAACTTTTGCACGCTTACTACACAGGAGTAGAGCTTTTTATTTAAGCATTTCTAAGCTTTTTAGAGCTTTTTGGAGCTGTAGATTCTTATTAGTATAAAGCTATTAGTTTTAGTTTGCACTAACATTTATATACCTATATAATTAGATTTTAAAGAAAAAATATCGCCAATAATATTTTTTACAAAGGGCGATTTTTTTTGTTAATTATTAATGCATGATAAATTTTGTAAATATACACATACTTTTATTAATCATACTTGCACTTCAATTTTTTAAATTAATATGATAAGTGCTTTTAAATATTTTTATTTATTGTGATCTTTGATATAGAAATATTGAATTTTCTTCAATTGTTCTAATTATTAAATTTTTTGATGGTCTCTCGTTGATCAATTTAGTTCTCGATAGTACATTATTTTTAACTTAGTTCCAATATTATAAAAGTCTTTGGCTATTAATTATTTTATTATGTAGTTTTCGATAATTTAAGTTTCGGATAAATTTTTATCCGAGATGTTGATAGTCAAATAAGAGTTATTGAAATTCTCGACAACCAGATTTTGGCTTACTTACTTCTCTATAACCAAATATTGTAAAATTCAGTTCTCGACATCTAAATATATTGGTCAAGCCTAATATTGGTCAAGATATTTCTTGATAGTCTCATATTGGTCAACAAATTTCTCGATAATCAAATATTGTCTAACTTAGTTCGCAACAGCCAAATATTGGTCAACAAACTTTTTGAAAATCAAATATTTTCAAACTTCATTTTCAACATCTAAATATTGGTCAAAATATTTCTTGATAGACTAACATTGGCCAACAAACTTCTCAATAATCAAATATTGTCAAAATTAGTTCTCGACAGCCAAATATTGGTCAACAAACTTCTTGGTAACCAAATATTATCAAACTTAGTGTTTTTCCACTGGACGTCAAATCCGGCTCGAAGGACCAATGTTTTTTTGATTGAATTTTTCTTTACTTTTTGAAGGACCAATTGTAAAATACTTTATTGATAACTGTATATATTTATTTTATAAGTTATAATAGTATTTACAATAATTTTAATATGTTTTCGATTACGTATTGATTGATTTGATTTTGGTTTGATTATCGATTGATGATTTTTTGTTCATATATATATATCAATAATAACCGCATGCTTTGATTGGCGCGAACACTTAGTTTTCGACAACCAAAAATTAATTAATATACTTCTTGATAGACTAATATTGGTCAACAAACTTCTCAATAATCAAATATTGGCAAAATTATTTCTCGACATCCAAATATTGGTCAACAAGCTTTTCGACAATAATAACCTCGATAAATATTATAAAATTTAGTTCTTGATAACCAAATATTGCCAAGCTTGAGTCTCGACCAAATATTAGTAGTCAAACTTCTAGAAAAACAAGTATTCTATATATAAAATATTTATCACGTCTTTTTTCCACTAAGGGGGCGTCCATTAATCACGTGACGTTTTTAGGAGGAGGGCGGGGGATTGACAAAAAATTACCAAATATTACGTGGGGGAAGGAGGGGTATAGTAAGATGATATCATTTTCAAACATTTTCAAAAAAAATCAAAAATTTTACAATTTTTTCTCGTAACTAAAAATACATCTGATGATTGGTGGGGGGAAGGGCGGTAATTTTGAATATCACCAAGGAGGAGGAGGAGTCCAAAAATCCTTAAAAAGATCAATTACGTGATTAATGGACGTTCCCCAAGTATGTGTACAACATTTACAAAATTTATTAGTACCATTACTTTTTATTTATATGATTTGTTGGGTGCATGTGCATGTGCATGTGTGTGTATATTTCTTCTCTTTGATTTGATATTATTTACAAATTTTCTTTATTTTTGATATTAATCATCGGGCAGACTGATAGTGCATGGACGCAGACCCAGCAGGCACAATCTGTGGAGTTAGTAACAGACATAATGGACATACTGGACAGACGAACAGACGAACAGACTTTAAATTAAATATAATATTGTTATAATTAAAAAGAAATTAACTAATATTGTAGTGTTATAAGTACTTGTTAACTAATTTTATTGTATTTATAATTTAATGTTTATATATATTTATTAGGGTGGTCCTTAATATGGACGTTTTCGAATTTCTTTGCTCCCAAGGGCTCAAATGCTTCTAAATTGATAAAAGAAAATCCTCCAAAAGTTTTAGCTCTTAATATTAACATTTAGGTAGTGCGCAAATCAATTAAAAGTTTCTTATATTTATTTTTAACATATGTCATTAAGTAAATGATTGCGCCATCTGTGTACTCAAATATTATGACACTTAAAAATATTTATAAATCACTTAACCTCTAAATCCATGTGGACTGTTCAACGAAATATTTATTCATCATGGCATCAAAATTAATTTTGCAGCAAAATATTTATTTAATTGGTGATTTTGACGCTAAAATTATCAGTAAATAGTTTTAGCTATTGCTGTTTTTTTCTCTCAAGCCATACGTTGAATAATATTGTTTAGATACTTAACAGTCGGATATTTTTTATAAAAATTGTAAAATCATACTTTTTGCGTTTTTAAATTTTGGTAATTAATAACAATAAATTTGTTGCAATTATTTACAATTTAATTCACATACTGAAATGTTTTAGTATGATATATTTCGAAACATTTAACATACAATCTTTAACCATAACCTTTTTTTCGAATTTTCTTACCTCTTGCATTTTTCACAGTTTCAGACATATTTTGCATTTTCTAAATTAGAAATTTATTTAATTGTGTGCATTGTCAAAATATAATATAAACCAAATGAAAATAAGATTTTGAATTTGGGTCCTCGTTTTGTTTTTTCATATAAAACACAGAATTCATGATGCAAACAAGATATGCATGCTACTATTTATTTAATTGGTGATTTTGACGCTAAAATTATCAGTAATAAATTGCCATCAAAATTACAAGTCTGATATCACAGATGGCGCAAGAATTTACTTAATAATAAATACACGAAACTTTTAATTGAAGTGCGGACTATCTAAATATTAATTTTAGGAGCTAAAACTTTTAGAAAAAATTTTTTTATTAATTTGGAAGCATTTGAGACCTTGGGAGCAAAGAAATTCGAAAATGTTCATATTATGGAACACCCTAATATTTATATTTGTTATTGAATTGATGGAAATACTAGAACATTAGATTTAATTTAAGGGGGTATTCTAGTGTAGAAATTAAAAAAAATCGATTTTTTTTATTTCATATTTTCAAAGTTTAACTATCTAAGAATATAGATACGAGAAGGTTTTTGAAAATTTGAATTATTTTCGGAGATATAGGTATTTTACTGACTCGGTCTCCATACTGGTTTGGCTTCACGCAAAACTTTAAATGCGTTTTTCTCAATACAGACTTTTTCAGTACTGTTGACACGATTTCTCGAGTTCTACTCGACCGATTCACTTGAAATGTTCAGAGAGTCTTGTT